TACACAACTTTTTTTTACAGTTAATACATTAAATTTTGGCTGTCAAGGCCTACGGTGCATTATCTAGTGGAATGTTTCCCAGCACACTTACCACACCAAGAATGTAGTATTACCTGGAGTTTACCTGGAGAGAGTTCCGGGGGTCAACGCCCCCGCGGCCCGGTCTGAGACCAGGCCTCCTGGTGGATCAGAGCCTGATCAACCAGGCTGTTGCTGCTGGCTGCACAAAACCAAATACGAGCCACAGCCCGGCTGATCCGGAACTGACTTAGTGCTTGTCTCAGCTCGCCCAGCTTGAAGATGCCAGGGGTCTGTTGGTAAATCCCCTTATGTGTGTGGGAGGCAGTTTGAACAGTCTCGGGCCCTGACACTAATTGTATGGTCTCTTAACGTTGCTCTGACACCCCTGCTTTTCATTGGGGGGAATGGTGCATCGTCTGCCAAGTCTTTGCTTTCGTAGTGGGTGATTTTCGTGTGCAAGTTCGGTACTAGTCCCTCTAGGATTTTCCAGGTGTTATAATAATCCATGTATCTCTCCATCCTGCGTTCAAGGGCAGAATACAGGTTTAGGACCTCAAGCGCTCCCAATAATTGAGGTGTTTTATCTCGTTATGCGCGCCGTGAAAAGTTCTCTGATCATTTTCTAGGTCGGCAATTTCACCTCCTTGAAAGGTGCTGTTAGTGTGCAGCAATATTCAGCCTAGATAGAACAAGTGACCAGAAGAGTGTATCATGGGCTTGGCCTCCCTAGTTTTGAGGTTCTCATTATCCATCCTGTCATTTTTCTAGCAGATGCGATTGATACAATGTTATGGTCCTTGAAGGTGAGATCCTCGACATGATCACTCCAGGTCTTTGACGTTGTGTTTCGCTCTGTTTTGTGGCCAGAATTTGTTTTTGTACTCTGATGAAGATTTAATTTCCTCATGTTTACCATATCTTGAGTAATTGAAATTTCTTATCGTTGAACTTCATATTGTTTTCTTGCAGCCACTGAAGATTTGGTTTGATGTTCTGCCTGGTGCTTTGCAGTGTACTGCAATGGAAGGACACTGTCATGCAGATATCGGGTGTCATCTGCAAAGGAAGACACGGTGCTGTGGCTGACATCCTGGTCTATGTCGGATATAAGGATGAGGAACAAGATGGGAGTGGAGTACTGTGCCTTGTGGAACAGAGCTTTTCACCGTAGCTGCCTCGACCGTTACTTGTTGACGGCTACTCTCTGTGTTCTGTTAGTGAGGAAATTATAGATTCCATAGACGACTTTTCTGTTATTCCTTTAGCAGCATATTGTGCGCTATTTACGCCATGGTCACACTTGTCGAAGGCTTTTGCAAAAAGTCTGTATTTAATTATTACATCTGCATTCTTTTTGTCTTCTTAGTGCATTTAGGGGACCTTGTGTAGTGTCCAATTGTTGGACAGTCAGAGAGCGACCTGTTCTAAACCCATGTTGCCTGGTTGTGTAACTGATGGGTTTCTAGATGCGTGGTGATCTTGCTTTTTGGACCCTTCAAAGATTTTATGATAGGGATGTTAGTGCTATTGGTCTGTAGTTCTTTGCTGTTGCTTTACTGCCCCCTTTGTGAGTAGGGCTATGTCTGTTGTTTTTAGTAACTGTGGGACGACACCCGTGTCCATGCTCCCTCTCCATAGGATGGAAGGTCGTGATAGGGGCTTCTTGCAGTTCTGTATGAACACAGTGTTCCATGTGTCTGGCCCTGAGGCAGAGTGCATGTGCATGTCATTTATCGCCTGTCGTTCGAAGTCAATTTGGCGTCGGATAAACATGGATAGCTTGGTGTTAATCAAATTTTGTGGCTCTCTCATAAAAAATTCATTTTGGATCTTCGACTCTTCAGTCTGGTTAGCGGATTGCTAAAAAACTGAGTCATTTTGGGACTTGAGTAAGCTCACTATTTCCTTGTTGTCATCTGTATAGGACCCCATTCTTGTTTAAGTTAGGGGAGGCCCAATACTGGACGTTGTTTCTCGATTTTGATTTGGCATAGGAGAAAGAAATACTTTGGGGTTTCTATCGATTTCATTGGTGGCTTTTTAGTTCTTCCCGCGATTCCTGACTCCTAAAGGATTTTTTAGGCTTAAGTTCGATGCTTGCTATTTCTCTGGACCAGTGTTCCCTATGCATTTAGATATATTGACCTCTTTTAGCCGCTCTGTTATTCTTTTCCATCGCTGTAAAGGGAGCGCCTGTCTCTTTCTGTTTTAATCTACTCCTCCTTTTCTTTAGGAGGAATAAGCCTTGTGCATACATCGGGAGTGCTACCGAGTTATCTGTTCTAGGGGCATAAGTTGGGGTCTGTGTTTGCTTAGTATATCTTCCAGCTTTATATCCCCTTCCAGTTGGACATGGTTTACTTGGTCCCCACTTTATGTTTTTGTTATTAAGTTGAATTGTGTGAATGTCCCTGTGACTAATCTCTTATGTCGGTCTGGGGTCCGCGCATCATGACGGAAACCTCAATTATGTTGTGATCGGAGTATATTGTTTTTGATATGGTGATATTTCTTATCAGATCATCATTTGTTAGTGAAGATGAAGGTCTAGTGTATTTCTCCAGTCTAGTAGGCTCTATGTTTGTGGTTTAAATTGAATTTTGTGCAGAGATTTAAAAGCTCGTCGTGAGTGTTGAGTTTTCCATCAGAGCTGCTCCTGGTGTTATTACTGCAACAATATTGTTTGCTTACTATTCTCCATTTTAGGTGCACTTAAGTTGAAATCCCCAGGAGGGCAGATGTTGGGTGACAGGAGCTGAAGGTTTCCAGACAGTGGTCAATTTTAACAGCTATTCTGGAATTGTGGGATGTTGCATCCGCGATGCTTGTAGACTATCACAATGACCTAGGTTTGGTTCTCGATCCTTTACTGCTAAACTTCCACTACATCATTTGAGGATTTAGCCCAGTTCTGTGCAAATCAATAGTGGACTCTGCAATGTACAGGCCACCCCCCCTTTTGCTGTTCACTCTGTCACATCTGTATAGGTTGTAACCTGGTGGAATCCATATTTCGTTGACCAAGTGATCCTTTATGTGTGGTCTCAGTGAAAGCGCGAACATTGCCCTTTCCTTGCAAGCAAGTCCACGGATGAAAGGTATTTTGATGTTTGTTGCTGGCTTTAGACCCTGTTGTAATTTGCAAAGAAGAATGTTATCGGACTGGTGGTTGTATTGTTGGAGTACTGGGGGGGGATTTTTTTTCCGGCATTAGTAGTTATATGTTGGGTTTGGAGTGAGAGGCCATCGATGTGGGTCCACTCCAGGAATGACTGGATTTTGGGTACGATTTCTGCCATTCTGCCAGTTTTTTTTCATTCCTGGCACTAAAAAAACCTCTCCCTCTTGAGTTGGCTGTGGCTACCCAGGTTTCCCATGTCTGGATGTTTTGTATCTTTTTTGTTCCCCTTTAGATGTATGCCTGCCAATTTAAGTTATAGCACAGTCTTTCCTGTACTGAAGAGGTACACAGTTCATGGTGAAAAAAGCTTACGGAAGGGAGTTTGCATTTTCCTGTGTCATATGGGCATGGCATTTCTAGGGTGGTCATAGTTGACACGTCCCATCTGTTTTTCCAGGATTCCATGCAGCAGTACCGAGTGCATAGTTGTGCACAGGCTTGGTTTCCGTTTGCCTTGGTTTCTGTTGACTGTATTCCTGTTGGTTGCATGTGTTCCCTTGGTCTTACATTCTATCCTCCCTAGCACCAAACATGGAGCTCCCACCATTTGTTTTTGGTAGTTATATCCTCACTATTGCTAGTGGAGTCCTCTTGTTTGCCTATTTCCTGCGGTATTTCTAGTTTGCAATTTTGGTTTTATCTTATCTTTGACTACACTTGTTTCCCTATATGGATCCGTCCCCTATGAGGTTCATTCATTATGTTTCCTCCTGCGCTATAATTCCCGATACCTGACAAAACTCTCCAGCTTCACATTATGGCTCCCAGGACAGCATCTTCCAGCTTCCCCAGACTGTCTCCAGGACAGGCATCTCCAGCTTTCACCATTACTTCTCCAGGACAGCACCTTCCAGCTTCACCATTACTGTCTCCTGGACAGCACCCAAGTTCCCCATTACTGTCTCCCAGGACAGCACTATCAGCCCCCCATTTACTGACTACCAGGACATCATCTCCAGCCTTACAGTTTCTGACTACATGGCCAGTATCAAGGGCAGTACCATTCAGCCCGGACTTTTTATGTTCCCATCTGTTGTAGTATTCCACAGTCTACTGCAACATGGCCATAGTGCTGGCATTTGTAACACCTACGTTTAGGGGGTAGGTGCACTTCGATGTTTAGGAAACGTAAACCATGCACCAAGATATTCTGGGGGAGGGGCACAGGACCCACCCAACTTGCAATAATTTGGGATTTTCCTTTAAGTCTTTTAGGCTTGATATGCTCACAAGGCTGTGGCCAGTTTTCCTCGTAAAACAAACTGGCTATTATGAGATCGGAGTCATCCAAGAATAGGTCAACATTCTTGCCAGACAACCATTCGGAGGTTGCCCGAGTTATGGGCAACACCGGAGAAGAATTAATCATTATGGGTTCAGGACACGCGCTAGCAGTAGTAATGTTATTACCCAGTAATAACATGGCATCTTTCATGGGGAATCCTTCGGATACACCCACAGTCAAGTATCCAGTGTAATATTTGCACTGTACATTAATTTTATGCAAAGGGACAGAATATATAGCTCCTCCAAATGCTTCCAACAAAACAGAGAAATTTAAGGAGGTGTTCTTTGAAAGGGGTAATATTCCCTCTTTTATAAGTGAGCAATATGCTCCAGTATCTCTAAAGGTTTTGACTTCAGTTGTTTTGGAGTTTTCCTGAAGGGAAATAAGACTCTGACAGTAGTAAGGGGTCATCCCTTTTTCTACTTCTTTCAAGGACATGTTACTAGGGATATTAGAGGTTTTCCCAATTGGCTGGGGTTTTTGGGGGCAGTTGGGATGGATGTGACCTACTTGGTTACACATGTAGCAGACGACAGGTTTGCCTTTAACTCCCTGACGTTGCAACTGGTGTTGCTCTGGCTGGTGTCCCTCTGGATACTGTTGTCGAGTTGCACCATGATGAGGGGTTTGTCTCTCACCAGGTGGAGCACAAGTTGAGAAGCGAGACTCACCAGGTGACTTAGTTGGCTGACGTAGACGTTCTCCTTCCGGCTGGCACTTCATCCTCCAAGGTTGATGATCTTTGCTCATGCCAGGCTGTTGAAAAGAGAGACGGGACTGCTCAGACAAGGAGCAGTTAGTTTCAAAGGTATCAGCCAACCTGGCTGCCTCCAATGCAGTCACGATCCTGCAGAAAGACTCGAACCTCTGGTCCCACAGACTCCAGCAGGTTGTCAACCAGAATAAGCTGCACAAGATCATCGAAGGTAGCAACACCACCTGCTTTATACCAGCTGGTAAAAGCTTTGGTCTGCTGTCGCACAAAATCATCCAGGGATTGACCAAGGTGTCATCTGCCTAGCTTAAAAAGCTTCCGATACTTAGTTGGGATACAAGTATATGCTCCCAACACTGTGGTTTTCACTACTTTATAATCGGAAAAATCAGTGTCATTTAACACTGATGTAAAGTCCTGTGCCTTACCACACAATGCTGTGAGAATCAACGATGCCCAATGCTGTTCCGGCCACCTCAAGGGTCGAGCCTGATTTTCGAAGCTTTCAAAAAATTATTCTGGTTTGGCCTCATTGTAGTGGGGAACAAGCTGTACTGCTTTCTGTAAACTAAAATCATTTACAAGATGCAAAAACTGCCTTCTTTCTTTTTCCCTATCAAATTCTTCTTTTGCAAATGCTCTCTGTTCCCTAGTCTGCTCAAGACTGATTTTTGCCAGCTCAAATGCCAATGCTGCTGATTCACCTTGAGACAACCCTGCTGCACTAGATTGATGATTTTGCTCAATTGATGTATCATCTTCCTCCTGCAAGAACATAGGAGTTTTGTTCCTAGCTCCCGTAGAGGGAGGAGTCTGATGTACCATCTCTTCTTCTCAAAGTTTGTTAGTTATCAGTGAACACAGTTGTGAAGCTGTGAGAGTGCGTTCGTAATCAATGCCAATGGAATGAGCAATTTGCCAACAATGCTATAGGGACAATTTAGGTAGGTTAAACAAGGTATATGCTGACACCAGACGTCTGACTCGTCTAGGTGGCATACCCCAAAGTATAAGTTATTTGCTATGCACAGTACAATTGCAGAATACCCCAACGTAATACGTTATTTGCAGAACACGCTTAGCTATGCACAGTACAGTTGCAGAATACGCATACAAGGTGGATACGCAATAGCACAGCTGACTACAAAATCTTCACACCGAACAAGCTAGTAGCGAGCTGTTAAATGATCACACTATAGCCAGGCTGACCATAACAAAGCAACTGACACGCAAAGTTTGTAAAGCGTTGGCAAAGCTAATGCAATGCCAGACAGCAAGCTATGCAATGTTCCTGCTACCAGTATCACCCTAGGCTCAACCATTTCTCTAAGTCCAGCTCTAGCTCTCGGACAGGATACCCATATTACAACCCAGGATTTCAAATGGCCTGTTATCCTGGGTGTAAAGGGAGCAAAATAAACACAGCAGAAAACTTTTGACTTACAACTGGTGGAAGCTCCATTGTTGGTGCTAGGGAGGGTAGGAATAAGACAGGTAAACATGCACCAACAGGGAATACAGTCACAGAAACCCAAGGCAAACGGAAACCAAGCCTGTGCACATACTATGCACTTGGTATCTGCAGACATGGGAAATCTGGAAAAATGGACGGGACGTGCAGCTATGACCACCCTAGAAAATGTCGTGCCCATATGACAACAGGAAAATGCAAACTCCCTTCCTGTAAGCTTTTTCACCTGAAATGTGTACCTCTTAGTACAGGAAAGGCTGTGCTATAACTTAAATTGCCAGGCACACCATCTAAAAGGGACAAAAAGATACAAAACATCCAGGCCATGGGAAAACCTGGGTAGCCACAGCCACTCAAGAGGGAGAGGTTTTTTAGTGCCATGAAGGGAAAAAAACTGGCAGGAAATGGCAAAAAATCGTACACCAAATCCAGTCATTCCAGGACTGGAACCACAGTCAATGGTCTCCACTCCAAACCAACAGATACAGATACTAAGCTGGAAAAAACATCCCCCCCAGTACCAACAAAAACCACCAGTCCGGTAACATTCTACTTTGCAAATATACAGGGTCTAAAGCCAGCAACAAACAACAAAATACCTTTCATCCGTGGACTGCTTGCAGAGGCAAAGGCAATGTTCGCGGCTTTCACTGAGACCCACATAAAGGATCACTTGGACAACGAAATATGGATCCCAGGTTACAACCTATACAGATGTGACAGAGTGAACAGGCAAAAGGGGGGGAGGGGCTTGGCCTGTACATTGCAGAGTCACTTGTTTGCACAGAACTACTTAATGCCTCAAATGATGTAGTGGAAGTTTTAGCAGTAAAGATCGAGAACCAAAACCTAGTCATTGTGGTAGTCTACAAGCATCTGGATGCAACATCCCAGCAATTCCAGGAACAGATGTTAAAAATTGACCATTGTCTGGAAAATCTTCCAGCTCCTGCACCCAACATCTTGCTCCTGGGGGATTTCAACTTAAGGTACCCAAAATGGAGGAATATAGCAAATAAAATTGTTGCAGTAATAACACCAGGAGGCAGCTCTGATGAAAACTCACACACAAACGAGCTTTTAAATCTCTGCACAAAATTCAATTTAAACCAGCAAATAATAGAGCCTACTAGACTGGAGAATACACTAGACCTCATCTTCACTAACAATGATGATCTGATAAATGTCACCATATCAAAAACAATATACTCAGATCACAACATAATTGAGGTTCAGACATGTATGCGCGGAGCCCCAGACCGACATAATGAGATTAGTCACGAGGGAGTTTAGTTTAATATGTTTATTATGCACCCCATACCCATCCTGTGGGCGGTAGTCAAAAGATTACAGAGGTACATAATGGGTCCAGGGACTGGGCCTCAAAGTTTTGATACCTGAGCAAGTTACAGAGGTAATGAATTCACAATTTACAAAGGTAATGAACTCACAATTTACAAAGGTAATGAACTCCAGGTAGGTCTAGTCACAATCATGACAAGTTACAAAGGTATTTATAGATTACAGAGGGACACAATGGGTCCGGGACGGGCTCCAAAATTTTGATGGGTGAACTAG